GTTATTACTATCCATGTTGTGCAATGCTCTGAAAGTCACATTTTTTTCCCCTGTGTATGCATAGAGATGTCCAACAACTCAAGGTATTCTTCCCTCATAGAAAATAAATTAGAAAGCAGACATAACTCAGAATAACATACAAGATCCCCTCAAGTAGAGTGGTAGAATCCTAATATTTTTTTTCAATATTTCCCCTCTAAATAATAAATCAAGCCCACTGCATTTCTCTATATGGAATGATATGATGCAGAAAAAGCTTGTGTGTTTATATTTTTCATATAATCACAAAAACATTCTTAAGCTCAGCACTAAACTGTAACAGGTGCTTCCACCCATGGATGAAGCAAGTCAAACTTTAACGTTTCTTTGTTTAAGCCTGGCCAGTTTTTTAATGCAATAGTCCCTAACTTTGATGCACATGAACCTATACCAATTAAGGGTAAAATGTATCAAGTTTTGAAGCTTAACCCATCTCAAATTGTTAAAATTTTTGTTTCAGTCTCTATTCTGTCTTGGAGTGACAATTTCATCAACTAGCACAGAGATAGGCACCACCAAGGAATTGAGGGATAAAATGGTTAAAATGGAGCTGATCAGGTTATCCTCCTCACAACTCTACACAATACCCAAAATTTAGTGGTTAGAGTTGGGCCGGAGCCACTTAGGGCACAAGAAGAAGGTCACTGAGTCAGATTTCTGAGCATCTTTCAGGAATCATCCACCATGTGCAACAGAATTCACAGTATTCAATGCCTGTCCTCAACAATTCTGTTACAGGCAGACTGCAAACCTCACCATCACCTAATTCTTCAGTACTCTCCCATGGAGGAGGAAGGAAAAGCAAAAAGAAATAAAACTGTCCCTTTAAAAACCCAAGCATTTAAGGTGCTTGTCAGTCGTCTTCCTGACAAGGCCACTTGAATGTATTCAGGAATATTTGCATAAATGCTCACAGTGAGTTCACCCTGGCAGCTAGTGCTAATGGTACATAAAGTAATTTAGTCACTTCTCTTAGGCATCCTGTCAGGGTGATAAGCACCCCCTCTTTGCCTTGTTGCATATTAGATCATTAGATAATAAAGTGTTAGAGCATGCAAACTGACAGGGTCTCAGGGACTATCATTTTTCGAGGGCATTGCATTCTGCCAGCAAGGAAAAATAATAGAGAAACTGATGCTGCAATTGGCTTTACATTCTTGTAAAGACATTCAAAAGATTTGGGGAGAAAAAAGAATTTTTACTTTGCAATGATATGAGAGTTTTAACTGGAAACTTTGCTGTGGATTTATTGCTGGTAAACTTGAAAAGAACTGTCGCAAGCCCTGCCAGAAGTCTCCCCTTCCATAAGTTCATCACTTAAATTTCATTGGGAAGATTTTGCTTTTAAAATTGACACCCTGGGATGAACTACAAGCTGGAATATATCCTGCTGTTGGAGCCTGTTGGCTCTTGACTATACATCTTGCTATATATATAATTTGGAAAGGTCAACCACACCGGCTTTCTGGTTTACCAGAAATATAAAACCAGTGAGGATCCAACTATTTGTGAATGAAAAAGTGATAATTATTGAAAACCACAGATTACTGTGGCTTACCCTATTTATACCACACAGAGATGGATGAAATAATAATTGGCCTCCGCCAGCTATTACTTTTAAAATACAGATATATTTATTTGAAAGATTAGCTGCTTAACCCACTGGCTTCAAGGGGGCAGCATGTGGACACAAAATCAGGATCTGGGGTTCTGGTTATATTCAGAGAAAGGAGCTACAAAAAAAAACCCTTCACTTTACTGACTGAAAAGTCTGACAAGCAAGATATAAATAAAGATGTGTTGGATGTCCCAAAAATAATCCAGACTACCTGCTAATGAGATGGTGAAACCCAAATGTGGAGACACCAGGCTCCTGAGTGGCTCGGGAGGTGCAGCTTTCTTTCCAGGTTTTTGGCCTCCAAAGTATCTTTTAGGTGTCACATAAACTATAACTCCATGTTTCAGAGCAGCAAACCAAGGTTGTAAGGAAAAATAAGCTGGATATTGTCCAGGTAAACTCAACAACCAGCACATCTTTCTACATCCTGTCTCTCCTTTCCCCAGCCCTCACAGTCAGGCATTCATCTCTATTGCCATCAGGAATTTGTATTAAGAAGGTTAAACACCTGGAAAAGTCCACAGGAGTACATTTGGTCAAGGGTATATTATAGTCAGATCCCAGATTTTACAAACCTGTGCTGAGCAGTTGCTCACCAGAGCAATGAACCAGAGACAAACCGTGACTATGTTCCCTTCCCATCTCCCTGCTCATGGATACAGCTCAGGTCAATCTGTCCTTCCCCGAGGGAGGCAGAAAAGATGGGGAGAGGAGAGGCAAACAAACTGCCTCTGATACTATCCAAAATAAAAATTCCAAAAACCGGAGAAAAATAATACATTTTGTGACTCAAAGTGAAAGCAAAAAATTATTTCAGTGGAGGAAACTGTCATCTGTTCCAATGGGTCTTGTCCAAAATTCAATAGCATTAAACCTTTTTCTTTCTTTGTATTTAGTAAAGTGTTTTAGATACCTAATATCATAACAATGGTATTTTCAAATGTTTTTTCCTGTTTCTTGGACTCACATGTTCAGAGAATTCCTGGAGAGCTGGACTGAGGGATTTGGGTTAAACAGAAAGGCTCCACCAAGCCTTTGGGAAGAGAACAATTTTGTAGTGTGAAGGTTGCTATTCAAAAGTAAGAATTTACTAGCAGTTGCTTTATGAGGTTGCTTGAGAGGTGCCTGAGAAAGCAGATTAGAAAAATCACCTTTCCCACAAAATGTACACATGGAGATATTTTGCAGATGTTGACTTTTAATATCAGCACAGTAACTCAGGTGTGTGCAGCTACGTAAGCAGAGAATTATCTTTTTTCTGTTGCTTTTTGCCAACAGAATCCCTCAGGTTGTAGGAGTGGGAACGACAGCTGTGGTAAAATGAGATACCACGGTGCATGAGAATAAGGGCATTTATGTAAGAGAAATTAAGTACTGCCTCAACCAAAAGCATGCACTGAGAAGACTGCAATGGGGAAAAAGGAAAAAAAAAATATGGCAACTACTTTAGTAGGAATATAAGAAAAAAAAAAAGTGTTTTTTGAAGACTAGACTTAATGGAAAGATTACAAAGTTGAACAGAAAGAAGTTTCCCTTTGTAATGCCTTCTGCTAATTAATAAAGACAGAGTTCATACATTCCTTATAAATTTCAGTAAAAATTATGACAGTGGTTTGTTTATTAAATTAGGTTGTTGGCAGGATGAAAAAAAAATTCTATAACATGAATTATGGCTGAAAATGGCTCGTAGCCTACATAAAAAAGTTAGAGCTAAATAAATACAGATGTAAGTTATGTTTATATAATGAGAAACGCTGCTGAGCTAAGAATTTTAGGTTAGTAAGTGTGAACTACAGACCCGATTCTGCAAACACTTATCAATACCCTCAGCTTCTCTGACACAAGAAGCCTCATTGATCCCAACAGGACCATATGTGAGCATAATCTTAAATATATGCATAAGTGCTTGCAGGGCTGATGCCTGAAAGCATAAACAGAATAGAAAAGTATTTCCACAGAAATCCACTGAGCAGTAGAAACCCACACATTTTCCCATTTCTCAGCATTAATAATTTCTTTTAACGTATCTAGTTAACATTTCTGAGTGGCATTTGCTTTCCCAGAGAAATTTTTATCTGGTTTCTTCAAACTCTTTGGAAAAATCTATTTAATTATTCATCAGATCCTTGGCAAATATTTGTGAAACAAACCAGCATAAAGGACTGGTGCCTTCTACACTCAGCTACTTCAACGGCAGCTGAGGGTACACATCTCTTAGAGGGAGCAAGCACCTATTGAATTTAGGATTACAAACAGCTTTGAAGACAAAGAGCTATTCTACCAAGCTGGAACAGGGAGAGGGGAGTGAAATGCCCTCTGTTTTTGTTTTGTTTTTCAGCAGTAGTCATCAACTTTGAGGACAAAGAGCAAAACAAAACATTAATCAAATCCAGATTTTTCAAAGTACACTTGCACTCAACAACTCCCATTTTAAGCACCTACAGTCACCAGCAGATGTTCCCTTCCAGGACCAGCTGACCTTACAGAAGAGATTACTGTCCCCAGGCTGCTTCCAGCCACGTGCCCCTATCCCACCCTAGCTGGAGTTTACTGTGCTTCCAGAAAAGCCAAACTGCCTTGCACCATTTCTCCTTCAATCATTTCAGCAACAAGCCATATTGGCAAAGAGTGATTATTTAAATGGTTTCATTCAAATGAACTTCATTGGCCTGGAGGAGACCAGAGAGCAAGCACACAACCATCCTAGCTGGCATGTCCATGGTGAAGAATAGCCTGGAGCAGGGAGGGGAGACAAACAGCTGTGGGAAAAGCAACGTCCTCAGCTGGCACAGCTGGAGCCAGAAAAGAACATTCATCCACGGCTTAAGCAAGCAGATGGATTTCCAAAAGGGCTCTGCTTTCATTTAGGGGAATTCAAAGGAAGAGAAGAATCTCCTAGAGAGCTCAGCACCCTATAGATAGAAGAAATGCAATCCAAAATTTGGGTGCTGAGCTCTTCAGAAAATGTGCAACATCCTTTAGATGCACAGTCAAAAATCAGGGCAGTCTGGAAAAAAAATCAGACTCAAATTTTGGGTACTGAATAAATGCAACCAACATTTAAAAAAAAATCACCCTACTTCACTGACACACAGAACAACCTCTGCACCCATGTTTGCTTACTTGTCATTTCACTACATTTAGAGCTGACCTACTTGAAAAATTCCCCCTTTGGTCTGGAGGCCAGTCCCTTTCAAATGTCTGGCCCCAGAGATAATAAACGCTTACAGGACAATTTTGAAAGCAGCAGCCAGAGACACAAACCAAATAAATCCACATTTAAAGTAGCAATGCCAACCAATGAAAATGATTTGCCTACCATGTTCCAGATAAGAAGGCGTACCTTCCGAGGGATCGAGTCTTCGAGCTCTCCGCCCGTGCTTGGAATTGTTGTGCACAAACATATTGTCTGACACTGCCAGCACATGGCCGTCAACATTGACTGTTGTAGACACCACAACCTGCAAGCACAAGAGCAAGATGGAGGAAAATTTGGATAAATCCGTGTGTTTTTTAAAAAGCGCGGAGTGTAATAAACTCAGTTAAATAAATAACAGCTGGGAGCTGTAGAAAATTGCAAAGCTATTTCACATAATAACTGGTGCTTATGCTGTACAAATCTAACAAGAGGCGCTATTGATGAGTGGGTCTTTGGCATCGAAAGCTTTTGATGCAGTTTTAAGTCAAATTGCAGAGTTTGTAGCTGCGTGGCAGACAGCACACTGTTAACCATCATTTTAACAAGAGGATCTTTATTAAGTATTTTTTTCCCCTATATACAAGGGCAGCTGTGTTTCACCCTAAATTATCCTTCAGTTTCCACGCTGAAGTAGATAGAGATGTTGACATTGCAAATGAGAATCGATTCAGAATAAAAGAAAACAAAAGTGTATTTTGTGAAGTTGTAACAAGAGTTGCTGCCTGCGTTGCCCCCACCCTTCTCTGCTGCTCTCCCCTCCGCACAGTCACTGCAGGTTGTTGGATTTGCCCAAATTTCTCCCGAGCTCTATCTTAAGGAGTATGTATAGGCATGTTTGTGTACACACACACACACATGCTTGACAGTGGGGTCTTGATCTGGAGAACACAACCCTATTCATCCCATGTTAGAATTATTTGTATTTCTCAACTTATCTCAATGTCAACACCTGGGATTTGATTTGAGGCGAGGTGAGAGAGACACAGCAGGACTGCACTGGAGGAAGGATTAGACACTTCTGCTGCCCAGAGCTGCCCAGGGCAGGAGAGAAGCCAGCCCAGCAGGGGCAAACAGGTAAATGATGGGTCCAGAATAGAAGACTCAGCTTCTCCAAGGTGTCCAGAGGGACTGCTCAACCCTGAGGCTCCAAAAGGAAATCCCTGTCCAGGCAGTGGGCCCGTGAGCCATGAAATGTCATGGAGAAACAAGTCCCTTGCAGGGCTGTGAGCTCATCACACCACATCTCCTCCTACTCCATTCAGACCAAGCAGTCTCAGCCTCCCCGGCTTTCCTTCAGCCACCCCTCCCACAGCCTTTTCCCAGCAAAATATGGCATTCCCAGGGTTTTACCCCAGCCAAAGATTTGGCCTTCGGCTGACTGCTGGTTTGCCAGGAGCACGCGTCGCCTTCGAGAACTTTGACTAAAACAATAAGAAGAAATGACCTACACTTCTCCTTACATTAAACAGGGAAAGGGATTAAAGACTGAAACCCACAGAGATATGTTTATTCATGCGACCTCTTACAACCAAATATAATAATTGTCTGTTAATTGCAGTTTCAGCTCCCACCTCATGCTTCGACATGTGAAACAGCAATCAGCAGCTCCTGTTTAATCCACCTATTATGTTGACTAATTAACTTTGCTCGACAGTTTATTTCTTCCTCCATTATCAGCCCCTGTCAGCCGCAAGCACAGTGCCGCAAAGGGGGACCTCAGCCCTTTTGATTGATCACCGATAGATTGACATGCAGATTAATTTAATTAGAATCACCTCACTTGAGAAATGAAAGACAATGGCAAGGGGGCTAATAGATCTGCTCTTATAATGAGGCAAGCCTCCAGAGCCATGGCAGAGGATTTCTGATTTATTTTGCTGAATTCCCCAGTCGCTCTGAAAGGCTCTTGCTTTAATTGTTCTTGGTTTTGAGAGGCTTTAGCCTCTGAAGAGGTGAAATGCTTTACAAGGATTGGCAAACATTGCTTCAACTCTCTCAGGAAGCTGCTGCCTCTCAAAGTTGGTCAAATGGGGACACTTAAAGGATCGCTTACAACTATTCAATTTCATCATTTGAATTGGAACTAAAAAAAAAAAAAAATAGAGTGAAAGGAAAAATTTTCTACCTATTTCTGGCCCCCCCAATTAAAATACTCAAAAAGTAAGCAAAGCCACTATACTGCCCACAGGAGATCCTGAAGTCTTTCTCTGGAAAAAGCAGAATACAAAAGAGAATATTTTACATCTAAAAGATCCTAACCCCGTCCCTCAGAATGGCATTCCAAGCAATAGACTTTTATGTGTGTTTTAAGTGAAAGATATTAAAATACAGAATAAATGATTCAAGAGCTCCTACAGATGGAAATTTGGGAAAAAGAAAGCACCAAATACAACAGATAAGTTTTTCTGAAATCAAACTAAGGAGAGAAAAAAACCAAGCCCTATATATAAAATTCCAAAAGGGATTTCAAAAGTAATTTATCCATTGAATTCCTGAGGGGTAGAATAAAGTTTATGATATTTTCAATAAAATATGATCTTATAGTAAGTGGCTCGGGGTTTGCAATCTTATTTGTGCACTTGCAACCATTGTAAATTCTTTGCAAGTGGGATTTTGAGCCAAATCCTTGGCACTGCCTGTCACAGTTTCATGATTTATGCCAGCTCCTTATCTTCTTCGAGGGGTCTGATTATATGCGTATGAAAATTAATAAAATTACAATTTTTAACAATGGCTACAAGAGAAAATATTTTCCACAATTCCAAAACCCTATAGGTACACACAGACTTCAGGCTGAGGCTGATCAATCCTGGGCTGAAACCAAAACTTTAAACATTTTTAGAAATGGTATTCCAGAAAAATAATGAGTCAAGAGTAGTAACAGTAAGGTAGTTCTCAAAGCTGTGAAAATCCTGTATCTAAGTAGCTGTTGCTACTTTCTAGGTAAGAACTTGAGGAAACAATCCTGTTGAGGTTTTATGTGAGTAAAGCTACATTTAATTTCCCCCTCCTCAGATTTTCAAAACTGTTGATGCAACATATTTTGAATTACTTAGCAATATCTTCCTACCTCCCTCCTGAACAGTTTGATTTACTATGAAGAGACCACATTGGTGTGGTTCTTTGGTGTCGTTAGCAGCAGAAACTATAAATGGAATCCTCAAGTGAAACTGTTTCCAGTCTCAGGAAATGCAGAAAAAAAAACTCTTATGTGTCTGTTTGGGAAAAAAAAAAAAGATTATTCACAGCACACCTGTAAGAAGCAACAGGCTCTTGCTGCTCAATTCTTTAAATGAAAATTCTCATTAATAGAGGAACACTGAATGTGCATCGCACCAAGGAAATATTAATGCCTCTAATTATTAATAGTAAAAAATGCACCTCAAATATTGTGTGCCACAGTTACATACTTGGATTGCTGCAGAGCACTTACATAGTTACAAGTTCTACTCATATTTTTTAATCTAAAAAAATACTACACTCTCCTCATTTTGATTTTGAAACGACTGGGATATGTTCAAGTTAAAGCACATGCTAAAACTAATTTGTGGAGAAATCATAAAATTAGGGGGAGGGGACAGTCAGAGTACATGTGGAATGGGCACCAAGGCATCCTAAAACACAGACTGTAGCAAGAGGGAAAGGCACACTACAGTTTAATAAATGATTAATGAGGTGCTGACACATTAATGTAAGCACAGGGACAACCAGGTCTGCCAAATCTCAAACCTTTCCAAATTTTGTCAACAAAACACAGTTTTAATTTGAGACAGGCAAACACGGAAAATGATTTTGAGCTTTAGCTTTAGCCCTTCACAGATTTTGAATTTAAATCCTGTATCAACACCAGGGGAGACAGAGGTATGAAAGAAACACATGGGTTTACAACTTTCTTCAATGAAATTGGCACTATTGAATGCAGTAACATATCCCAGCTCTGTGGATTATTCTGCCTGCCATTAAATAGCTCAGTTTGTGAATACTTTGGAGCTTACATTTTTTTTTCCTTTAAATATTCAGAGACCAGGAGCCTGGAGATCAAGCTATTTATCCACGTTTAGCACTCGGCCTGTTTATTTGGTATAGTACCTCACCTAATATATCAAAATTAAGCATTGCACAACTCCTGATTTTTAACCACAGCCCATTAAGCTTTGCTCACTGATTAAGACATAGCATTTTCCTTGTGCTTTCAATTTTCTCCGGTGTATGGTGAAGGACCTGATATTTCTGCAATATCCCCAATAGCAAAGGCAGAGAAAATCTAGCTAGGAAAATTTCCCGGTTTGAAGTGTGTCCTAAGTGTTAAATATGTAACTCCAGTGCTTGCCACTCTTCTGAAAGCTATAAATGGCTCGAGCACATCTTTATTTTCATCACCACTTGGTGACCTCTTCCCACAATGTGTTGACTTCTTTATTCTACTAGCTAAAAATCACTCTCCATTTAACAAGACACTTCAAAAGGTGCCTAACTAAGAGCACATAAGTACAATACATTCTGCAATTTTGCTCACGTGCTCAAGGACAGGCCAGGCACTTAATTACCTTGTTGAATTGGGCCACAGCTCTCACTGCTATTTTTCAGTCTCTTCTTCTTTTTTTTTTTTTTTTTTTTTGCCTTTCCCTTCTCTGGGGATGGAGCCTTGCATGTCCAAATTCCATTATCTGGGATTCATGAAGCATCATCTCTGTCTCTTATGCAAATTTGCAATAAGACACAAGTGGCTTCAATTCAAACATGAGTGGCAGCATCCCATGGAGGCAAACGAGCAGCCGCTGCTGCAGGAGAGGCTGTGGTAGCAGAATCAAACAGCATGGCAATCTCTAAGTGACTTTCAAGGTTTTCATAATAAGTGAATGTTTGGGGTTTCGTTCAGTGACACAGCCTGAAAAGTTTCCTCTAAATTAAAACTTGACATGTGTCAGTTTACAAGCAGTTGTGCTAAAACAAGAACAACAAGACAGCTAGGGCGCCTGGGTTTCATTAATTACAATAACATACAAAGCTGTTTAGGTTGTATGAATGAGTTTTTAGTTCTGAAAAATCAAATCTAGGCAGAGTTCAATCATGACACCATCTACTTAGTAGCAGTATTATTATTACCACTAACTGAGGCACTACAGCTCATCCCACCAAGGATGATGACTTATTGTGATGAAGAATTCATAACCAGATTGAGCATCTGCTCTGGAGGGTTTCTGGAATAAAAAGGCAAGGTTGGGCAAAGGTGATAATACACAAGAGCACCAAATGTTTTGTGCAATTGGGCTGATGAAACATGGAGATGAAATTATTTTCTCAAGGGCAAGCAGGAGTGTGAAGCACAGCTGAAGTACTGTGCAGTACTTGACTTCTCCTCCCTGACTGTCTCCTTGTGCTAATAGAGACACAACAAACACAGCCAGGGCCAGCACTGCTCCAGCACACACACTCTGCTGGCACTCCACACCACTCCACTTGTCACATGCCTGGACATCTCAAACATGCAGAGAAATTTATTTCCCTCCAGGCCCACAACAGCTTTTATGTTAGACTTATCGCATTCCTGCATTTGCAAGCAAAGTTCAGGATAAAACCTCCTAATTCATTTCTGATTGTGAGCCTGAATCAACACACACTCTGCCTCCCTGTACTTTCTTAACATGTCTTGTATCAGATGATAATCAGACAATTCCATGCCACATGGGGAAAAACACCCCAAACCAAATCTAAAATCTACTAAGAAAGGAAATTTTCTACAGGACTGGTCCTTAGAAAGTACAGGACTCGTGTCCTTGGCCTTCCACTGAATCTCCCATCAAAACCATAATCTGTGTTCTAAGAACTTCCAGCAACTTTTGGGGACTGACGAATGGCAGACCAAAAGTTGAAAATATCTCTTGGCAGCTTCAAAGTCCAGCACAAGTAGGGGAATGAAGGAAGGGAATGTCTCCATTTTTATGTGTATAAAATGAGTATGGTACCATCTGAAGGTATCTGGAAATACCTTATCCTTATGGCATTTAACCAGAACTGTGACATTGCCATTGGAGACTTTGTAAGTCACTGGCAACAATTCAAAGGCAGCTGACAGCAAACACAAGGGCACAGATTTCATTTGGTTCCTACACAACACTGCCTCAAAGACCCAGGAGCACCACAGCATTGAGATACTACATGCACACTTGGTCCTTTTCACCCAAAGAAATGATAAATGAAGTTTGGACTCTGCAGAGCCCAGCTGTTTTGTTTTAAGACGCCTATTGCTAAAAGACCAACAAATTCAAAATTAAAAAAAAAAAAAAAGAAAAGGGAAGAAACAAAAGCAGCTATTGTAAAACAATAAGGCTGGGCACTGAAGAGAACGCTGCGAGCTTCAATGCCACCCTGTATGAGAGTAGGAGTGGTTCGCTCGGCTGAAAGTGATTAATTTCTTGAAAATGCTGAGGTCACGCTAATTGACATGACCTGTGTAATTAAGCAGTCTCTGTTTACACACGGAAAGCTCAACTGCTGTGAAGCTGGGTTTGTATGACAGAATGTCTTTACAAGTCAAGAGATCAACAACCTTTCCTATGTCCTACCTCCCTGCCGACACAGCTCCTGATTGCTGTTCTGAGGAACACGCACAGGCATTTCCATATGAAAATCAGCCTGGAGCCTGGGCGAGCACAGCCCCAGCAGAGTGTACATGTTGTGAAGCAAGCTCTGACAGGCCCCAGGGGTGACTGCTCGGACTAAAGCCCCGTGCTGGTGAGAGTCCTTTTCCCACATTCTCTTTCCGTGATAATGCCCTCTGGAATCACAGGAGAATCGTGACAGAGGGAGGAGTGTGGGATGAGAAGCTGAGGGCTCTGCCATGCTAATGCTGGCTTTTACACTGATTAATTTAATCCCTGTGGCCACATCTCCTCACTTCTGCACTTCCCTGCTCAGAGGCAAATAGCACCCTTCTGCCTTCCAGCATTGCTGCAATTAAGCAGTTCAACAAAAGACATTCTACACATAAATAATATTGTCACTTACATAACATTCAACACTTGTATTGAAGTGCAACAATGCTGGAAAAGAAGCAAACAAGGTTCTGAGTAACTACAGAAAGCAGATATATTTTGAATTTGTCTTTCTCCAGAGACCCATGTGGTCCATGGGACAAATCTCTTGTTTCTTTCTCAGAACCCTGAGGCAAAGCCCCACAGACAGATTCTGCCATATTTCCTCCGTGGAAAACTCCTCCCACCAAAAGAGAAGGTTCTTTGACTTTCTATCCCATATTTTCATTCAGCACATACCCAGCTAAAGCATTATTGCCACAGTCAAAGACCATGTCTTCAATAAAAGGGTTGGAACAACTATTCCTCAGCATTGCCACCACCCCACTCTGCTGCCAGCACTGGGGAAACGCAGAGGTACAGACCACCTTCCCAAGGAACAGTGATGCTCTTCAACCCAAAATGAGTAGTGACACAGCTGGACCATAACAAGATGTCCTTGGCTATCTAAAGCTTTGTTGATATTTCAGCTCCCAAGACCCAGTGCCACAAGATGCAAAAATGGATTAATACCAGCCTAAAGCATCCCAAAACCGAGGCACCCAGTGGTAGCTTTCTCCAAGTGCTCACTACAGGGACAGACCTTCATCCCATCGATGCATGTTTATGAGTCTTTACCACTGCTCAGGAGTAACACATGTAGCCATATGCCTGATTTTATTAATTGCTTTTACACCTTCCTCTGCCCCAGCCAATAAACAAGGTGCCCACTTGGTGTTTGCATGAAAACAAATAGTTCCCCATGGAGAGAGAAATATCTCAGAGTAGGGGAGCCCAATAGCTGAAAACAACAGAGAGGTCATTTTGATTTTTCCTTTTCATGCTTTCCCTTCCGGTGGAGATGACATTATCTTCAAGAGTGCTCTCTTCCAGACCAAGAAAACCCAACTACTTCCTGACAATTCTGCTGTGACAAGAAGTCCACAGGCATTATTTTGTGACCTTATGTTTTTAGCATCTTCCAGTGAATTACTAGGTTAGTTTGGGTCAAAGTACTTCTGTCCTAACAGCTGCTGATTTTTAAAGGAGGAAGCGTGTCCGACTGACCTGGAATCGACGCATGTCTCGAGGGTTTCCTGCATTTTTTAGGCAATTTTGGTTACATTTGAGGAAAAATTTCAAGAAGAACCTGTGGAGAAACAGAAACGAACATTAATGTCTTATAAATAGAGTGTAGTCTGGATAAATATGACAATAATACAAATATGATAGCTGCATATTTGGTCCAACAAAGACTTATCAACATCAGTATTCCCAGCTTAGACAAATCACCCTCCTGTCCAACCAAAGAAGGAGTGGAGCTTACATAGGCCTGATCTAGCAAAACATCCTGAAAATTTAAACACTAATTTCACAGCTCTGTTGTGTCAGAGCCATTAAAGTTTGCAGAGTCAGTCCCTCTGTCACGCCAGGCTGGCTGTGCCATCCAGAGCAACGAGGAGCAGACATGTTTTTCAGCACAGCAAAAAAGGGACAGAAAAATGCTAGACATGAAAATTCCCTTGGGTATAAATGGGGTTTTGTTTTACAAGTTCACTGTCACCCTCAAGTTCTGATTTAATACAAAAATACTGAAAGTGTTCCATACAGTTGAAATCTCCCCCCCAGGATTAAACCGAATTTGTGAATAAAATTAATGCTCCAGTAGTGGTTAGTGGAGCCCAAATCCCTGAGAGAAGGGGGAAGCCTTGGTCAAAAGAATGACTTCATGGAAAAATGAAATGTTTTTGATGCAGTCTACTTCCTGACCATACACAGTTCACTGAAGTAGCTATATGACCCTGACATATATCTCTAAGAAAAGACATTGCCTTTTACAAAGCCAAAGAAAAAAGCAAACATTTCACTGAAAATATTTCCTTCAGTGTTATGCATCAGTGGGCTGTAAACTCATAAAGACAAGTCAATGAATAATAGTGGGTCTCAGATTCCAGGCTTCCTCCCTGAAAGCCAAAGTTTATCAGCCTTTTGTCCAAAATAAACTACAGACTAAGGTCTCCTAAAGCTCAGCCGTGCACAGTTTAATCCTACAGCAAGTTTAAAGCCCAGTGTAACCAGACATGGCAGCATTACACGTGCAATAACCATCAGTGACTGAGCAGAAGTTCCTCTGCCCTGTTCCCACATACAGGAGTGGGGTGGGGAACAGTTTGATCCTGTTTTACTTTAAATCTGAATGTTAACTTTTGCAAGCAGCCCTCTTTCAGCACCCAAACTGAATGCTAGGTCAGCAGAATTTGCACAGACTGTCACCAAGAAAGGCAACACTGCAGGGTAAACAGCTTCAGAAAATCCCTTTTTGATGAGCAGCATTCTTTGCCCTGCTCTAGTTGTGATGCTGCCTCTCAACAAAGCAAGTTTTGCTGCTTGTTCCTCCATGTCAAGGAAATCATACAAGGCAAACGGCTGCAACGATAAATCAAAACTACGAGGGACTGTTTTAATTTAAGAAATGCAATGTAATGAGGAGGATTATCAAATGTGATGGTTGGGATTATCAAGAACTAGATCTCCTGGCCCAGGAAGTCTCTTCTAGACCTGAGCTTCTAAATAAGGGCAAGCAATCTACATAAAATAAACATCCACTGCACTGGAACAGGGGTTTGGAGGCAGTGCTTGTTTAAAGGAAAGAGCAGTGCAAGTCATTGCATTTCTCAATCAAGCAGGTTCTGATATTCAATAATGGAAAGGTGGTGCTATTTGCTGTACATGTGTGTCTTTTTAAGCTGCTAATGGCCAGCTGTGACAGCCTGACTCAGATTGTGTAGAAGGAGCTGTCAGCACAAATCTTGGCATCTCAGATCCAGACAACTGCTTGCCACCAGGCGAGGGTTTGTACTTGTGCCAGAATGGATTTTGAGAGACAAGCAAATAGGGCATTAATTCCGCCAAAGAAAAGCGAAAAGTGGGGAGAGTTGGGGATCTTACACTTCAGATGATGGCTTTCCTGTCAACAGCTCATCACTTAGCTCATGAGCTATGAAGGGCACAGACATCAGATCCCTCTTGCCCTAAGCTGGCCCTGTCTCGCGAAACCCTGGCAGGATTCGGAGACCACCCCTCCACACGAGATTGCTCGCTGAAATAAAAAGCCTGGCCATCTGTTCAGAGGCAAAGACATCCCTGTCAGCTGGTGCCTACAGCCTCAAACAGGCCCTTATGTGGCAAAACCTCTCAGAGCCACTCACTCTTTGGGGAGAAGCTGGCGCGGCCCTGGGCTTACCGCGGGATTTTGGCGGCTTCGCCGAGGGCTGAGTCCAGCAGCTGCCCACCCGGTCTGCCACAGCCCCAGAGCAACACCCCGGCCCTGAGGGGAGCTGGGGCATGGAAAAGTTAAAAATAGCTAAAAATTCCTGGTTTGTATTGGCATAGCACACAAATAATGGGCAGTGAGGGTTGGTGGGCTGATTAAGGGTTCCCCAAAAAAGATGGAAAGTTCTTTGTGAAGCTCAATGGAGAAACACTGGGCCTTCCCTCCCCTTACAAACTCTGAATTCATGTCAACTCAAAGGCTTGGAAAGTCACCCAGAAATACAAGAGTTTGCTTTTTGGGGTCTGCAAAACTCTAACCCAAAGTTTCACAGTCTAACTCCATGTGCACTGTGCTGTAACCCCCAAAGGCTACAGAAGTTTCACCAAAATAAACTGCAGAAGAAATGAAGCTCATCTGTTTAAACCTACCAAAAAACCTCAGGCAAGCAAGCAAGCAAACAAAACTTCTTTTGAATTAAACCAACCCCAGAAAAAAATTAACTTGCAAAAATAACAGCATTTTCAGAGGAACGCGACGCTCACACAGCCAAGTTCACTCACTGCATGTTAAGCAAAAAAAAAGTCACCAGTTTACAGAACACATTCTGCCAAGTGCCATATTTTAATTCTACTGAAAGACAAAACAAACGATGGGGCTGCACTTTGTTTGGGAACACACCAGGCTGGAGCCCCCCCGGCCACACGAAGCATCCCTCACTCATCCACGCAAGAGCTGAGCAGCTCCTGGGCTGGCACCTCACCCCCAGCTGATGGAACCCCCCCACCTTGGCAGGGAGGAGGAGGAGAATGCATTAAGACAAGAGTAGAGCAGAGCAGTTTGATTCATGGGGCTCAGCCCAGGCCCTTTGTTCCTGCTTTAGACCGATTGTTGAGGTGCCTTCATCACCTCAAGCCCGGTCCTGCCAGCATTGCTCATTAGCAACACTTCACTCTGCAAATATTTCAGATTTGGATTGACAGCACTGGTCCAGGAGAAGTGCCAACAGAGCTGAGCTCTTTGCAAGCATAAACCTCCATCCCCATTTGCTCACATCGAGCCTCTTCACAGTGGGTTATTTTTTTTCAATTCTAACTTTCCCTGCATTTGGCAGGACTGTGTACCATTAATGCTAACCACAGAGGATATATAGCATTAATACTCACTACTGGGGTCTGAAATTCATTTCCAAGATGAAAAAAAAAAAAAGTGCAAAACACAGGAGTGTCAATAAAATCTTCAACTCTTTCTCTAAACTTATGTGACTGCTGAACACCCACTCTTCTGCCACACAGGAGACAGTCATCAATTATCCTTATTGCTACCATTGAAGGTTTTGGGTTTTTTTCATGAATCAACCAAAACATATTTTCTGACTCTCTTCCTGACTACTACCATTCCTAGTGTGAAGAGCATTAGTGCATGTGTTTCTCTGTGGAGCAGAGAAAAACAATCCAGCTCCATGCAAGTCAGCTCAGGTCCAGGAAAAAAACTTGCACTGGTATTAAACCAGAGAATTCCATGCATCACCTTTACCCCACAGAGACATGGCTGGAGTGTAAGGAAGGGAACTCTGGGGGAAAACCAGTTAATTTTAGATTATATTTAGGTGTCCTACCATGCTGCTCAGGGCAGGCTGCAAAAACTGCTGAGGGCCTGAAGTTGCTGAGCAGTTGATCTGTGCCATGCATGCTCTACAAATCCCTGAGTAACTGCAAGGTCCAGTGTAGAAATACATCCTCTGGTTGAATACAAACCCCTGGGCTGAATCAGACCCCAAACTAATGTGAACTTCTGTTTGCCATGCAAAAGCCCTAAAAAATGTGCTATTGGCTGTTGGGAATGTTCTCTCCTTTTCTCACAATTCAATAGAAATTCCTTTTTTGGAGATGAAGTTGTGGGGTTTTTTCTAACAAAACTGCTGTATTTCCAAAGATATGTTGGTGTCAGTAGGAGTTCCTCTGCTAGGGAGGAACTCTACCCAAGCCTGGATCCAGCTCCTGAAACCAGCTCAGGAATCCTCACTCCTGCCCCATCCATGCTCTGATTCCCCTTGTTCCACTGACGGATCTGGTGAGCACAAGACCAGCTGGAGGTCACTCCACTTGTTTAAAATACTCCCTGCCACTCCCTGCTGGCCTCATTTCCCATCACACACCAAACCCTTTGGGTTTGTGCAACACCTCCCCAGCAACATCCTGCTCTTTGCCACCACCACAGGGATTTAAATTAAACCCATGGCAGAAATGGAAGTAATGAAGATGTAAGAGGATTTTGCCTTCCTGCTTTTCTTGCCACTACAAATTAATACTCATGTTTATTAAAAATAACTGAAGAGTTAAATTAAAGAAAGCAAGCTCTGACATGATCTACGTTGGCTCTTCTGTCACTCCCCTGAAGGAAATTTAAAGGAACTCAAACACGAAGGCTTAGCAGTAAGATTTTCTTGCCATTGCCACAATAAATATGTCTGTGGAAGGAGAAAAAAATAGTTGGAAAGAAGACCTGCTGCATTCCTGATGCTGAAGAAAAGCTTGTTTGTTCCTGATACATTGGAGAAGTTGTTCAAGAACAGTTCCTCCATGTGAAAATACGACAGCTGTCATGGTGCCAAGGTCAGCCAGAGCAGTGGCTATCCAGAGTGAGTGCTGGTTATACAGCTCAGACCTGGCTAGGGCAAACAACACTGACAGAACACACCTTTTCTGCGCTGTAAACACATTTGATAGAAAAGGGCAACTTCAGACTGCTGGATGAAACACAGCAGCAAGTATACGTGGGTTTGTAAAATTAGTAAAACCAAAATACACAGGGCCAGGGCAATAATTAGCAACTTTCCATCAGATAAAAGGATTGCATGCCCATTCTGTATGGCACAC